TACATGGCCCTGTTACCGCCATTGCCAACAGCCAGCCAACTGAGTGAGGTCACTCAGGACCAGCCAGCCCACAGCTGATCCTCCCACCACAAACACCCGTGTGAGCCTAGCCAAGATCAGTGGAACGCAGCCCAGTCCAAGACTGATCATCAGAATCATTACTGTTTTAAGCCACTATGTTCTAGAGTGTAAGCTAATTACACAGCAATAAGTAATTGATAGAATGATGATGATGATGATGATGGTAATAATAATAATAATCACCTCCATTTCCTGGTTGTTTATGAAGTCCTGAACAGACACAGATTCATTTACTATGCATTTGTGTAATCATTACAACCAGCTCTATGAGGAAGGGCATATTTTATCACTAGTCCAGAAATAAGGAAATAGAAGCACAGAGCAGTTAAGTCACTTACCCGAGGCCACACAGCTATTTAGTGGAAGATCCCGTATCAGACCCACGTTTCTGAGACTCCACGTTGGTGTCTGTAACACAGCACCAGGCCACTGACTGCAGGGTTACAGATAAAAGCCCTTTCTTCTTGAGGGCAGGAGTCACAGAGAGCAGAGGAGGTGGGGGTGCCCCCCTCTGCCTGCCTCATAATTTTGCCCAGGGCAGGCCCTTGCTGTCAAAATCAGCCCCCCATCCAGAGGAAAGGCAGGGACCCCTGTCCTGCCTCCTTCCTCCCAGTGACAAATGTCCTCATCTTTCTCCCTGCTGTGCATAATCAGCTTCTTTCTAGAAATTCACCTGAGCATTCCACTATCCCTGGCCATTTCTCGGGGGGCTGCTTTGGCCCCCACCATCTCTCAGCTGCCAATCCTCTGTGACAAGCTCCCCACTCCAACCCCCAACGGCCGTTAGGGTGATTTGTCAATAATAAATTCTGAAGCAAATTGAAATATTTTGCGACAGCATAAAAACAAATGGGAGAAAACGGTTCTCATCCCGAAATGCTGATTGAATCAAATATTGCCATATCGATTGTATGATACATTTTCATATTTAATTCAATGAAAACCATGGGGTTCGAATGCTTTCCATTACCCTACAGAATTTTTCAGTTTGCTGCAGAATTTATTATTGGTGTGCCACCCAAATCGGATTACTATTGAATCAAAACCCTGCCATGTTATTCAATCAAAGACCGTGATTCTAACCCCAAGAGTCGATCATTGCCACTTTTCCCGAAGTGGATTTCCTTTTCCCTGTTTGACACAAGAATGCCCGGTCCTCTTGCCTGTCTGTACATCGCTCCCCGCCGCACCTCCCTGCAACGAAATCTACTGACAAAAGCTAAGCGGAACGACAACTGGCTTTTCAACATCGGCCTAGGCTTTTCTGGGAAGGTGTGCTCTCGTGTCCCTGTTTTTGCCTCCCCTGCAGGCCCTGGCGTGGGCATGCGGCCACCACCGGCGGGAGGGTGCACACCAGCAAGGCAGCCAGTCACCTCTGGGTGGAAATGGGACTTGAGGGCTCACAGCAAATGCTGTCAGTGGTCCCCACGCCCCCATGAAATCCTTCCATGTTTGTGCACACCCTTTTCTAGTTGCTTTCGTTCTTAACAGCCAGCACCCGTTTTATCTGTGTCCTAGGAGGGCAGGGGGTGCCTGGGAATGGATATCCCTCTGGGGGCCTCCTCTAACCAATACCCTGGCTCCCTTGCTCCCCAGTCAGGCACCTCTGAGGGTGCCCTCCATCCCCTGCCCCAGAATGCCTTGCAAGGTTGAGCCCAAGGTCCCCTCTGAGGGACTTGGCTTGACGTTGTCCCCTCGCTGGGCCTCCTTCCTTTCCTTGTGTCACTTCCTCACTTCCTGCTAGAGGTGGAATTGTGTCCCTTCCAAATCCACATGTTGAAGTCCTGACTCCCAAGGACCTCAGAATGTGACCTGATTGGGAGATGGAATCTCTACAGAGGTAATCAAGTTAAAACGAGGCCATGAGGGTGGGCCTTAATTGAATATGACTGGTGCCCTTAAAGGAGGAAAATTTGCACACGGAAACATGCGTATAGGGAACGCGCCATGTGAGGATGAAGGCAGAGATGGCGGGGATGCTTCTACAAGCCAAGGGACGCCAAAGACGGCCAGCAAACCACCGGAAGCTGGGGGAGGGGCCGGGAACAGATTCTCCCTCACACCCTCAGGCGGAACCAACCCTGCCCACACTGTGATCTTGAACTTCTGGCCTCCAGAACGGCGGGACGATACATTTTTGTTGTGTAAGCCACTCAGTGTGTGGTAATTGGTTACGGCAGCCCTAGCAAACAAATACACTCTCACACCTCTTTTCCCGGCAGAATTTCTTAGTGAAATCACTCTTACAAGAATCCTTGTCTCAGAGTCTGCCATGGGAAACCCAGGGAAGCAGGGCTCCCCCAGTGCCCCAAATTCTGGATGCATGTTTACGTGCCTGCTGGAGATGGAATTTTCTAAATCCAATTAGAAAACCTCCACTTAAATAAAATCCCCACGCAGGCCAGCATCCCTGATGGTAGCCAGCATTTAGCCAGGACGGCCCAGGTAACCCTGGGCCCACTGCCCCCCTACTTCACACATCTGTCTTCCATGCCCCTCACAGCTGTGGCCCTGGCTGCCTCACCAAAGTTGAATTGAGTGTCCCTGAAAAATATAGCATAGCATCCTTTCCCTGCCGCGAGACACTAAACCAATAAATTATAAATCAGCCAGCAGCCCCGTGACATGCGGATGTAATGAGAAATGCAAAATAAGAAGACACGGAGAGGAGGACATGCGACTCTCCCTCCCTCAGCTCAGCTCTGGAGCACTGGATCTCCTCCCTTTGGGGCTTAGAGAAAACCATTGTTTTCTTTTCTCCGTGTGTCTCTGTTGTTACATAGGCACACCACACACACACGCACACACGCACGCGCACACACACACACACACACACACACAGTTGCTACTAACGATCGACCAGAGGCTGCTATCAGGAACCTGGGAACAAAACACAGGATAATAGAATTATTTGGTTCCTGGGGCTTATGAAATTCCTGGGCTATAGGGCCAAATGTCTCCCCAGGCCAATTTCCTTTGGCGAGAGGTCATCTCAGCTCTGTTTCCTTCTGCCCCATGGCTGGCAGTCAGGTGATGCTCACCTGGACCAGCACCTCCCACCAGGGCATCACCAGTGGTCCTTCAGGGCACTTTCTGGAATGTCCAGTAGAAAGGGGTGTCTGGCTCATCTAGCTCTCTTAGGATGCAGAATCCAGCCGTTCCCTATCTCTCCTGTTTGTTTATTTATTCACAGCCTTGCATCCATTTATTCAGCTACCCGGCGTCTGATAGAGGGGTCTGAGAACGAATATTTTCTAGGCCTCCGGGGAACAAAATGATGCTGCTCGAAATGTAGGAACAGTCTGTGCTCCTTTCCCAGCACCGTCTGCCTAGTGGCCAGTTTCCCATTCGTCTCCCTTCTCCCCTTGACCCCAGGAGGATGCTTGTCGAGCCCCAAACAGAAGAAGGCTCTGCCCAGAGCCAGCTGCCCTTTCCCCACAGGGTTCCTGCTTCTCACTCGCAGTCTGTATGCTTGTAACCTACTAATATATCTAGTCACCCGCAGGACCCAAATCCTCAAATCCTGGAAAAATGAAGATTTGGTCAAAACTCCTTTGATGGCAAAAACTGGCCTGAACTACTGTGAGGCGACTTAAAGCCTTATTTAATTCCAGTGCATGTGAATATTCATACGTTTTGCTGCAGAAATGATAACGTTTGATTGTGAAGTATGGAGTCTCTCATCATATATGGCAAATGCACCGTAAGATCTTCCTAAAAATGAAAAATTCTGAAGTCTGGAACTTATCTGTCCCTGTGATTGGATAAGGGACTGTGGAGCCATGCTAACTCCCATCTACTGAGTGAAGGCCAATTGCCAGAGGCCGGGCCAACCTCTTTCTAAAATGCATCACACTGGATATTGACAACACTGTGAGTGTGTGTGTGTATATGCGTGGCTCATAGTGTTATTATTCCCACTTTATAGATGAAGAAACTGAGGCCCAAAGACTTAAACAACTTGCCCTACATCCCCAGCTGGTGAGTGGTGGAACCAGGAATTGAGTTCACTATATTTGACCTCAAAGCCTGGCCTTTGACCATTGTGTCCATCCAAACTGTCCCCTTAACTAAGGACTTCAAAACTCCTATGCTCACCCTGGGTCCCAGCACTCACGTGGACTCAGGAGAGACTGTTCAAGTGGAGAGCTGGTGGGGAGCGGTGTTCTAACGCACAGGAGCCGGGGGCTGGCTGGTAGGAGAGTTGGGGGAAGGGTAGGGGAAACCTCATAGAGAAAGAGCAAGAAGCCCTCCCTCCACCCTGGCGTGGGGCCAGGGGAGAAGCACGCTCCCCTTAGAACCCTGTCCTGTCTTGCTCTCACTGGGCTGGCCACTTATGAGGAGGGGTGAGCATATTTGTGCTTCTGCCCATTTTCCAGACACCCCTCCTCCACACTTAGCCACTTGTACTGCTCTCCTCTGTCTTAGGAGCAAATTCTGTTCCTGGAAAACCCTTTTAGGGTTACTTCACATCAGCCTAAATCATAGTTACCAAAGGAGTAAAAATTTGGGTGCATTAATGAGCCCCTACTCTAAAACCATCTTAGGCTAAAACAAGACAAAAATTCCCAGGGATGGGAAGAGACTTTGTGGAATGCCTGTTATGATTACATAAAGGACATACATATAACTCTCAATGCTTAGTGAATTCTGAATTTAATGAAGAAAATAGCCAAGATGGGGGAAATCAATGGAAATGCACTTGATATGATACTCACAGAGCAGGTTACCAACGTAGGGGTCAACAGAGTTGACCCTTGACAACCAGTAGGTTGTCATGTGATTTCTCAGTAGTTCTCATGAGACTAGGAAGCATGTACACCCCTTCTCCTGACACTGGGCTCAGCCATGTGATGTGCTTTGTCGGAGGGAATGTTGGCAAGAGTGACAGGGTACCTGTCTTGTGCTTCTCTGTTCAGATCCTTTGCACATCTGTCGTGGACAATGTCTTGAGTAGACAGTGGTCCAAGGAGATACATGGAGCCACCTCTAACCCATTTAAAAGCCTGAAGCAGGTCATCCCCAGATGACTGGTAGATCTGTGAGCAAGAAAAATAAAGGTTTGTTTGGTAAACTGCTGAGGTTGGGGATGGTCTGTTATACAGCATTACTACAGAAATGGCTGACTAATACACCTAGTAAAGTAGAATTCTTGAAACCAGATGGGCACACACTGGGGAGGTCTGAAATCTCCTTGCAACAGAGCTGGGTTAAGACCACAGGGCCCTTTGAGTTACTTAGCCAATGAAAGTCTTAGCTAACCCTGGAGAGTCTGAGCAAATCCGTTCTCAAGTCAGTGGGTTGGTTTGAGCCCTGAATGTGTCTAGATTGGTTTACTTTACTGCCTCACCTCTTGATGCCCTCTGAGTCATCAAAATATCTGCATCTCAATATTTGAACAGCATGTTTCAGTTTTCAAATCCTTTTGATATAAATTGTTTATACTATTAGCAAGACCAAGGCTCAGAATTCCTACCACATGCATAGTGTTCTCCTGAGAAATTCCTTCCGGAAAGTCTCCAGGCCAATGCCACAGGATGCTGCCACCATTAACGTGTGTTGACTGGACCAAGGGTGGATGGGCACTTATCCAAAGACAGCCAAGTCACAGGCTGGCCAGTGACCTATGAGATGGCCTACCACCAAAATTCCACCAAACAAGGGGCATGAGTGACAGCTTTCTCCACTCCCTCATGGTGGGAAAGATGTCACCCTTGAGTCTGAGGTTTATTAGAACCAAGTCATGGCAGCGGAATATGGACCCATCTACCATTTTCCTTCTCTGACCCTTATAGGAAAGCTGTATCAGCATCACCAGGGAGTGTGGTAAAAATGCAGATTCTCAGGCTCCATCCAGACATACCCAATGAGAATCTGCATTTGGACACAATTTCCAGGTGAGTCACCAGCACAATAATGAGAAATATTGCTTGGAGACATAGGTCAAGTTCTCCCTGTCCATGAAGACTTTTCTAATGACCTCCCGTTATGACCTTGGGTTGTATGTCTCCCCAAAAAGATACGTTGAACTTCTAACCCCAGCACCTCAGAATGTGATCTTATTTGGAAATAGGGTTATGGCTGATATAACTAGTTGAGGTCATGCTCCTAATCCAATATAATCAGTGTCCCTGTAAGAGGAAAGAGACACAGAGACACACAGGGAGAAGACAGCCATGCGGTGATGGAAGCAGAGATTAAAGTGATGCATCTACAAGCCAAGAAATGCTTGAGGCTACCGGAAGCTGGAAAAGGCAAGAAAGGATCCTCCTCTACAGGCTTTGGAGGGAGCATAGCCCAGCCAACACCTTGATTTTGGACTTCTAGCCCCCAGAACTGTGAGAAAATCCATTTCTGTGGTTCTCAGCCACGCAATTTGTGGTATTTCGTGGCAGCAGCCCTGGGAAACCAACAAAATCCCCAAACACTTGGGGGGCTTAGTTAGGGTTCCTTCCAAAGAAGACATTGAAATATGGGCAATCGGTACCAGTTGTGGGAAGCACCAATGAGTATGGGGAGAGCAGCCAATAAAGGATGCATTCGTGAGTAAGTTGCTGCTGTGGGCAGCTGGGCTCCATCCCACTGGGACTCTCTGAGTAGAACAAGCAGAACGTATCTCAGAATTGTTCCACTGGAGGACAGGTTTAGCATTTACCCACTGACTGTAGCCCCAGTTGGTTGTAGGTTGCCCCCAGGTTAATTTCCTCCCGCTTTAGGGGTGAGCCTTGCAGTCACCATCTTGCAATTTTTAATAATTTCTTCTTTGAAACTGGGTGTTGTCAGTGAAATCTAATGGAACAACGGAGCATATGTTCATTGTGGTCCTGCCTCCCCTGCCTCCCCACCTTTCCACCACCCGCCTCGCTGGAATGGGTTCTTGGCTGACTGCTCCATCACCCCAACCTGACAGCACTGCTGATTTCTGCATCAGCGGGAGCCTGGCGTGGGCATGGGGAGAACTGGGCATGCGTCAAGCTGTGGGGTGAGGCTTCGCTGAGGTCGTCCCTTGTCCTGAGAATAACACTTGCCAGAGGGAGTGCAACATTAAGTAACAAATAAAAATCATTATGACAGGTCAAGAGAGAGAGGGAAAAACTTGTGTCCTGTTTTTTGGAGAAGGGGCCACATTGTCATTTTGCACCGTGTCCCACAAATTATGTAGCCAGCTTGCCCCTGATGCTGGAGGAAGCCCTGAGACAGAGGAGCCAAGAGATGCTGGCAGCTGAGGTGGGAAGCCATTAGTGTGCAGACTCTCCATCATAGCTGCAGGGGAACTTGGGTGTCCAGAGGGGATATGGGGTGGGGCATCAGCAGGAGATGCTACAGGGGTGTCTCCCTTCTCAAAGCAGTGCCTTACACATCTTTATGTTGCCTTCTTGTGATTTTATAAGTGTTGGTCTCCACCAGCCTGATTCTGGTTTTTACCAGCACATCTGAGTAAGACTTGGCAACTCTCTGTGAACTCCCAGGATACCTAGCACACACCCAGTGGGGCCTCGTCATCTGCTTGGAAAAGAATGAATGAAATCTGCAAAATCTACGAAAAAGATCGTGACAAAGCTTTGGGAGGCACATGCCTCCCCAAATGCAGACGAGCCGAGAGACGTGATTTTCTTTTTCATCTGGGAGCAGCGGCAAAAGTTTCCCCAGGCATGGGCCAGCGTGTGTCTGCCTGCCAGGCGGTCACAGCAGCGCTGGGCATCAGGACAGCAGGGCCAGCCAGCTGTCACTTAGGGGAGAGGCTGGGCAGCGTCTTGGATCAGGGGCTGCCCGGCACAGCCTCCAGCTGGGACTCCGATGTCAGCAGAGGACACCCGGAGGCAGCGGGATAGGGGTTGTCGGTGGCAGGGAGAAGGACAAGAGAGACTGACCAGAGGGAAACAAAGATGGGGAAGGAGTGAAGGGAGAGGGGAGGAGCGGAGGAGGGGAAGCCTTGGCCTGAGCGACCCAGGGAAGTGGGGAGACCATCAGTCGCTCCTGTTGGCAGAGCACAATGACTAACACTTGCGCCCCAGAGTCATACCTGCCTGAGCTCAAATCCCAGTCCTGCCGCACCCTAAGTCCCAACCCGTGAGATGTGGAAGATGCTAAGAACATCTACCTCATGGGGCGTTGTGAGGGCCAAAATTGCTTGGCCCTGTGCCCGATACCTAGTAGGCATTCTCCAAAGTTCGCACCCAGGCCGGTGCCCCTTGGTAGAAGAGAAGGCAAGAGGCCACCAGACTGGGAGTGCAGAAGTCCTTGTCCTCGACCACAGTCCTCCCACTCTGCCCATGTCTTTCATCTTCGGCGTCTGCTTTCATGGGAGATAAAGCGCCAGCTGTGTGCGACCAGTATGAGGCCCAGCAGGGCAAAGGTGCTTGAGGTCTGGCCTGTCAGAGGGCAGCATGGAAAGCACTGGGTGCGTCCCGCTGTCCCTGCTTGGGCAGAGTCCCTTCCACTAACCAGGCCTCAGCGCAGCCACCAGCCACCCAGGCAGGGAGACCGTATACCTGTTCGTAGCATAAACTTCGGAGTCAGACTGTCCAGACACAGATCCCAGCTCTGCTGTTGAGTGGCTGTGTGCTGTCGGCAAGTTACTTAACCCCTCTGCGCCTCAGCTTCCTCACCTGTCAGGTGAAGGTAAGAAGAATGCTTACCTCATGGAAGCAGTGGAGGGCCTCAATCAGTTAACATATATAAAGTGTTTAGAACAGTGCCCGGGACGGAGTAAATTCCATGTTAAAAGTGAGAGACTTTATTGACACTCTAGAGAGTGTGTCAATGAGGGTTCTCGGCGCAGACCTTCCTGGGAGGTGGCCTGGGAAAGAATTCAGTTTACTATTTCTTGCCTGGGTCCCTGGGATTTCGATGTCCCGCACCGGCACTGCCCTTGGTGGTCCCAAAGTCCAAGGGGCGGAGGGCAGGGGCAGAGGACAGAGAAGAAAGTGTGGGGAAATCTTCTCTGCCTGACTAGGCATTAGCCTGCCCAAAAGTTGTAGGAGAGCCAGCCGCTGGTAAATGAGGCTGAGTGAGGGGCCACGGGGTTTGCAAATTCTATGCGTTAAGGCTGGAGGGAGGGAGGGTGAAGGCCAGATCAAGAACGTTCTTGTTTACCTCTCGAAAATGTTTGGACTTTATCCTCAAGGCGATGGGGGAGCATCGGGGTGAGAGTAATGAAATGATACATACGAGGTTCAACCATTCACTCATTGAATCCCCAAGTATTCACTGAGTGGCAACCTTATGCCATGTGCAGCTCTAGACCCTGCAGATAAAGGGCGGTGTCTTGGCCTTCAAGTTGCTAATGAGAGATCTACCTATTGGGACACAAGCCCTGATTCTGAGATCTCCTTCCCAGAGCCGACCCTGGGGACTGAGGGGTCTTTGCTATTTTTAATCAGGTCACCCTATGCAAGCCCTGCACTGGCCGTTCTGGAAATTCCTTAATGACCTGCCCAACTTCACACTGGTTTCACCCCCTAATCATTTTGAACAGCTGGCCTGGCACTGTCCCTTGGTGGCTAAAATCCGCTAGCCTTGCCCATACTCAGCAGAACACCTAATAGATTTGCATGAACTCGTTCTGCCGTGGGGAGGGAGGTGGAGGGTACAGGGGAGGGGTTCTAAGACAGTGCCCCAGGCAAAGTCAAGGGTTTATTCAGAAAATTGTTTTGGTCCTTTTTAGCGCAGTGGAGGAAAGGCAATCCCAGAGTTGCCGGCCGAGCTCTAGAAAGCCATCAGGTTGGGTTCTCAGGGAAGCAGCCGCTGAGATGAAGTTAGTGATTGTGAGAGCTGATTTAATCCTTCAGTGACTTCCAGGAAGGACTATATGTAATTGGGCACAAATAATAACACAGGCGAAGCACCCCTGAAAGGCAAAGGGCGGGAGCAGGACTGGGCAGGGGAGCTGGCAGGTGGCGATGCAGATGTGCGGTCTCTGCCCACCCAGCGGGGGCTCCCAGCAAAGGGTGCCCATGAGAGCAGCCCCAGTTGAGGCGGAAATGGCCAGCTTGGAGTCACCCTGAAAAGAGCAGGACTTCAGCTCGTAAGCTGAGGCCGACCCTACCGAAGCTAACAGCTGGAGGCTGCCAGCCCACCCCAGATGGGCAGCCGGGCAGAGTCCTTTCCTGAAGGCGCTCTGAGCGATGGCTCCGTGTGCATCACAAGACCCAAAAGGAGAATTAGGAGGAGGCCCGGGAAACGTATGCATAATTAAGGCAAAGTCTCTCTTTACCTTCAAGGCTCTCACTACCCTGCAGAACTGGTAAGAATTCATAACATCCTGAGAAGAAAAATCTGGGCGAGAAAACCCCAGATGGAGCTTAGAAGAGGCTGAGCTGATGTGCAGGAATCAGCTGGGATTTCCCCAGCCTGGACCAATGAGAAGCATCCTTCCACCGGCAATAAAGACAACCTTTTCTATTTTCCTTTTTCCTAATTTGGTGAAGAAGATGCAAATAGATATAGATTCCATCAAAATGCTCTCACCAATGATAGATATCCCCTATTTTGTTTTGCTCCCGTTTGGGTTGTTAGCATGGCAGCAATTAAACTTGACAAAATAGTGATTAAAAAACAATGAGAAGCAAATGTACCAGCATAGCGGCGCGCATCTAGACCATTCCGAAAATGATCTCTTAAGTGTTGGAAATCTGCTTTATTTTCCTACCGCAGGAATGAGTTTTCAAAAAACAGCACTTAGGAAGGGCAATTTGCCACAAGCATTCCCTGGCCCCAACAAATAGTTTTCCTTTCTAATGGACTCTCCCCCTCCAAATTTTAGCTGCAGTTCCCAGATCGGATTCATTATACAAGAGCAAAGGAAGGCCACAAAATGCCCAGAAACCAAGCCTTTTTCTGCCACTTTAAATAATGCAAAAAAAAAAAAAGAAACCCAAAAAACCGAAACTTCTCAACAGTAACTTTGCTTCCGGGGTTTCCGGGGCACCAGCTGCTGGGCTGCCCTGGTCTGGGAGGTCACGGCCACCGGGGAGCTGGGAAAGCTGGGAGAGCTGGCTGCGATCAACCCCAGAGTCAGCTGTTGCTGCCTTGTGAACAGGGTCTTTATAACATCTGGCTGCTTTTATGGGACTGAAGTGTGTGACTCACAGTGAACCTTTTAGAGAGAGGAATTATCAGCACAGGGCATTTTCAGCTGTGGGGGTTTTGTTTGTTTTGTGCAGTCCTGTTGCAGATCTGGCTTTGGCGAAGCCACGGTCATGTCTTCCTTGCTCTCTTTCTGATGTGCAAGCAGCTTTCTGGGTCTAATTGTAGATGGAGTCCGTGCGTCCTTGATCAATAGTTCTGAGTGTCCTCCTGCTTTAAGGGCTGTTTGGTTCTTGCTGATGGGCTGGCATTTCCGCCTCTAGCTCTGCGAAGGAGTTTTCAGACTCTCCAAGCCCATCAGCAAAACCCCGGCTTCTCCCGGAGTGCCCTTTGAACTTCGCAGCGCGCAGATCTGCCCTCACCTCAGGAGGTCCCATCTGCAGGGAGCCCTAAGGAGGCTGCGGGCCAGCCTGATAATGGCGAGAAGACCCATCACGACAGGGGACTAGGGTTCAAAGCGTGGTGACAGCCAGAACCTGGACCGGCATCAAAGAAGGTTCCCCCAGTGGGGGATCCTCGAAGGAGGGGCGCAGGAGATGGGCTGGCAACGGGGACTTGACCTTGGGAGCAAGGCAGTAATCCATGTGCTCATTCTCAATTATCTCTGATAGAGCCATCATCGTGCTGGCGTTGGAGACCCAGAGAGGCTCTCTGTTTGCCGGCTTCTGTTTGATAATGAGAGATGCACAGCACTGGGTTGGAGGGGAAATGAAGAGGCAGAGCACAGTCTGACCTGCAGGGCGCAGGAAGCCGTGGAGCAGAGAGGTGCTTAATAAGAGGGTTTTCCTGGTTGGGAATGAGTGGCCGCCTCCTCCGAGCGTGGCCCCAATGGGCTCTCCGGATCGGCTCTCTGTCCTTTGCCAGGATGGGAAAGCCACCCTGGGCATGCTGTCTGAGTACCCAGTGGAAGAAGGCAGGTGAC